GTGTGTGTGTGTGTGTGTGTGTGTGTGTGTGTGTGTGTGTGTGTGTGTGTGAGCGTGAGCGTGAGCACATGCATTAGGACGAGATGGTGGTTGATGCCAAGGGAAATCCAAAATGGAAAGAGCAAGACAATAAGAAATGCTATACAGGCAGGTGGAATCTGTAAATTCTGGTTCCCAAGAAAGCAACTACATGTCAGGTTATCAAAGGATTTTACTTGTACTCACCCTGGTAAAGCTGTATAAATCTGGGATGCAATGCAGAAGTGATCACCCCATCTGGCAGCTCCCTCAGAAATAATTTCAGCAAACTGGTTACTGAGCACACATCAGCATCTTTAGCCAGCTCCACTTCCTCCCCTCGGTCATATTTCAGACGCAACTGATCCACCATTTTCATGTTACCATTCACCCTGAAGAGACCTTCCTGTGTCAGCCCTGTAATTACATATTAAACATGAGTAAAACAAACAACATGCACTTGGCGTTCAATTAGCACACCCTGTTGAGAACAGTACCATTCTGTAAGTAACCAAGACACAAAGCTATTAGCCAGTGGATTCTCTGGATAAAGTAATAATGAATGTTGAAGACCAGATCCAGAGTCCTACAAATATCTACCAAGCACCCACAATGCCTAACGACTTCAGTATAACTTGTCAATATTCAGCACCGTTCTGGATTTGGGCCCAAATGGCTGGAGCCTATTTCCACATACTTCAATTGGTGCTCAGTCAGGTCCTGATCCTGCTACCACTTATGTGAGTAACTTCATTCATGTGAAAAGTCCCCTATTTGCTTCAGTGGACCTGTTCAGGTAAGTAAAAGAAATCTACATCTTCCATAGAGGACGCCAGGAGAACTACATCATATTAAAAAGTTCACTACATTCCAAGGACATTCCTAGATTCAAACACTTAAGTAGAACAACTCCACAAAACTGAAGAGTCAGTATATTTTTTTTTAAAAGCACCCCAGTAACCAAAACGTTGCAGTCTTTCAAACCAGTTCTGCAGAATTAGTCTTTCACGCTGAAGCTTAATACTAAAAGGGTTACAAACGTAGCATGGAACATTTTAAAGTCAGAAAGAGACATCGTTAAAACACAAGGCCCAACTTGCAGAATACACCTGGTGCACAGAAACCAATGTTGCTATTCTGACATCTGCTGGACAATGGGAAGCACTGCAGAACAGTAACGAATGGCATTTCTGTGCGAGAAGTTGGGCAAAGTAGCAAATTCCCCACACAGATAAGATGTTCTTGATCTTCCAATAAGAAATTCATTCTGGAAAAAGGCTAGGCTAGATGATTTTGGGGAAAAATGGGCTATTTTTAACATTTGCAGAGGTAACTTCCTCCATAAAATGTCAATTCTGTCTGTATACCAGAGAGTGTCTAGATGATACAGCTGACCTACAGCCAGCTCAGCTAGCTTGGATAGGTATTCAGGTCAACATGAACTTGAACAGGGATTCTGCAGTGGGTTGTCCACATCTAACTTCAGATGTCAGCAGTGACCATTCATGTGGGTTTCACTCTAGTGAGAGTTCCAGGATGGAACTGAATTGGCATCAGTGGTGGTGCACTGTGTACCTCTTATTTCCCATCCAAATGAACTGAGCTCACATGGAGGGCCGTGTTAGTTATTCTTCCTAGTTAACGTCAACGTCTATGCAGAAAATTGCTCTTCCACGTTAGCTCAGGAGCTCATGGCTGCCTTGAAAACCATGAGTTTATCCCAGGCTCTTCTCACACAAGTGGACATCTTTTAGATCTTGTTTTCACATTGGAGAAGGGATGGGGATTATAGCTTTATCAGACCATCACCTTCTCAGTTTAGAACCGAGGGCTCACTTAAATTTCCACCAGGGACAAGGATTTAATTCAATCAGTTTATGTTGGCAGATAGATGGGGCATTTGGGTTTCAGGTTTCTTTAAGGGAGCGTAGTGTGCCGCCACGAGTCCATTTTATCAATACACCAGTAGGATATTACCATGATCTTTTCCCCTTCACCATTAGTTGATTGGCTCCCAAGCACCTTCTCCCTATACATCATCCTCACAGGTCATTGTGCTACATGAATAAAACAACACTGAAGCATGGTGGTGGCAATCTCACTCCAACCATCTGTAATACACAGAGCATGTTTCTATGCTGCAATGAGATGCCTGGGACTGGCCCGTGACAGCTGACCGGGCTCACAGGGCTTAGGCTAAGGGGCTGTTTAATTGCAATGCAGATGTTTGGGATTGGGCTGCAGCCCAAGCTTTGGGACCCTCCCACCTCACGGAGTCCTAGAGCCAAGGCTCCAGCCCAAGCCCGAACACCTACACTGCAAGTAAAGAGCCTCTTCGCTCGAGCCCAAGTCAGCTGACACAGGCCAGCTGCGGGTTTTTAATTGCAGTGAAAACAAACCCAGAGTCTCTTCACCCTAGACCGTGGCAGTAGAAGGCAGCCCACGGTAGGGTGACCAGGTGTTCGGTTTAGGACCGGAACACCCGGTCAAAAAGGGATCCTGGCAGGCCGCTGACTGTTCGAGGTGCATGTATTGCCGCATGTGCGTATACCTGTGTGAATAAAATTTGCAGCCTAACTCTTTGACTTCTATTCCTTTTGCAGGCTTGCGCACAAAAAAATTGATGACTTAAAAACTTGTTATGAAATGAATACATACATATTTTATAAGAGAAGGAAACTCTAAAAGAAATGTATTATTTCTTAAAAAGTGAATGTTGTTGACTAGTAGTTGCAGAAGAGCCAATGTACCATACATTTCTCCCCACCTTTGTCTAGCTACATTATAAATTCTTTGTTGCAGATTCTCTCTTTTTATGTATATGTCCAGCACCTACCACGCTGGAGCCTTGATCTTAGTTGGGGTCTCTAGGCACTAAACAACAATTGTAATATTAAATAATGTGGAAGTATATGTGTTAGTGCATGTTAGATGTGTACACATGAATACACGTGTGTATCTGCATGTAGGTGTGGGAGTCAGTTTCAACAGGTTTATTTATTTAGGTATCTGGACAGGTGTGCATTTCTGTGGTTGTCCTCTATGGATTTGTATTTGGGCTTCAGGAGTGGGCCTTTAATGGACCCATTGCAGCTGTGATAATGTGTGGTCCTAATTCCACACATAAAATTACAATAACTTTAGTGAACAAAAAACATGGAGCTGGTTATGAAAAATGGGAAGAGGTGAGGGAAAGAATCATGAAAACCTTTGTGAAATTTTGTTTTTGTTTAAATTACGCTTTTTGACTATTTTGCTGCCAGCTCTAGCGTCCTGTAACAAATAAAACCTGAACTTAGCATAATACATCTGTCAAAACAATAACTATGCCTGTTTGGGCCTTGCAGTGAAAATGAGCACTTGAGAGAGGGTGAGTGAGAGCAAGCGACGGAGGGAGGGGGGATGGAGTGAGTGGAGGCGTGGCCTCAGGAAGGGGTGGGGCCCCAGGAAGAGGTGGGGCCCCGGGAAAGGGTGGGGCAAGGGTGTTCGGTTTTCTGGAATTAGAAAGTTGGCAACCCTAACCCACGGCCTCGTGAATCTACTGGGAAAAAAGAGTATTTTTCATCATGCAGACTAGATCAATAAAAAAGCAGGTTGATTCTATTCTGCTGTTGCTTGTCAAAAAACAGAGGACATCCCTGGGCTCAACACTAGAGGTTGGAAGAAGGGCACAGTAGCAGACACCTCCCCTTTTCTCTTAATAAATGTAGCCACAAGGTTGAGGGGTAGAATAGCAAAGATTCCTTTCCTCCATTCTGACCCCTCCCTACACAACCCCCCTCGCTCACAGAAGCCAGGAGGCTCTGTCATTTGGAGTCCTAGGATTTGTCTTCCTAGTACCATCCCCTAGGTCTTTTGACCTAGGGGATGGTACTAGGCTTGCCGATGAATGATCTCACATTAGCTGTTATTACATGCTTGCTGTTGCACAGGTCAGCAATATCTACACAGGCCTTGCCTTGGAAAGCTTACAATCTAAAGATCAGAGATGCACTGAGCAACCAAGAGGAAGGAGTCATGTATCTAAAGAAAAGGGTACATTCACCAGATGGGTCTCAGCCAATCCCCTACCTGATTTCACTACAATTCCTCACAGAGTAACACACTGCTCAGAATGAAGAGGGGTGACAAAATCGGGCACTGCATTGATTCACATTTGGAAGGTTGTTTCCAGCCATACAGGCTAAAAAAGGGTTCATGGGTTGTTGTTTTTTTTAAATCCTGCAGAAAGTGACTGATCTGGTTCCTCCATTTCTGCTCCCCTACCGTCCTCATGAGAGTGATAGTAGAAAAGGAAAATATGTCAATGTAAAATTAAACTCAAACAGCAAGGTGTTGGGACAATAAAGAAAAGGAAATCTGTCACAGCGCCACACTCAGAGGTACAGAAAAGGGAGCCATTCTCAGCCTGTAAACTTCAGAGGAGTTTGTTTCTCTCACTAACCAGAAGATGTGAAGCTGTTAAGTTTGGATAAAGGAGAATCCAAACAAAACAAAAACAAAACCAGAGGAAGAGTCCCCGAGGAAACCCAAGTGAAAGAAGACAAGATGATGGCCAGAAGGGTCCTGTGGGAAAACAGAAGGACCTGAAGAAACTGTGCAAAACCCAGCAGCATCTCGTGTACACTCATTTGAGTGGTCATGGCACTGTTGGAGGCTTGCTCATTCACACCCACCCATCACTGGGGATCAGTGCCAAGAAGCCTTCTAAAGAAAGTCCACATTCTTGCTCAGAATTTGGGAGAGCAAATTGTAGTTGCACAGAAATGTTTTCAGTGGAGAGGGGAAAAATCCAGAGGAACATCTGCTCTAGGAACCTTCTTACAAAAACAACCGAGTGTTCCAGCCAACTGCCATTGCTGTATGCTATCACAGTGCACAACGATCGCTCATGCCAGTTAAGGAGCAACACTGGAAGACTTCAAAGGGAGCACCAGTCAATTTTCCTCCCCACCCCGACCACACTTTAGCCACGGGGTAATACAGGTGCAGCACTCTGCCCGCTCTGCCTGCTCCCAGCACCTGCAAGCCCCACCCCTGCAGCACGCGGCGCTCCTGCCAGCGGGCGGGAGCCGGGAGCTGCACCAGGAAGTGGTGAGCGGCGGCGCCGCGGCTGTGGTCCGGACGGTCCCCGGTATCGGGACAAAGGGCGTCCCAACCGATGTAAAGTCGGGATGCGGGACAAGTCCCCTAAAATCGGGACGTCTGGTCACTCTAATGTATGCTGAGAATCCTAATCATTCTCCAATGTACAATATAACCCCCAGTGGACTGGTATTGTGCCTCCAATTCCAAAGGATTGTACATGCTACACGTACTACATCAAGGCATTACCAAATTGGCCTCCTCATTGATATGACACAAAATGAAAATGAATCTAAAAAATGATCAACCCTCCTTCCCACTAACCAAATCAATTAAACAAAAGTGAGGTCCAAACCATGCCCCCAAATAGCAATCACCCACACCACCTGCTATGAGAAGGTCTTGGGGGGGTGACTGAGATCTCACACCACTTTTATACCAGTGTACCTCTATTGACTGAAATGGAGTTATAGAAGTTTAAGTGAGAAGAGACTCAGGCCCTTGATTTCTCCCTCCTCCATCACATCTGAAATATCTTACAGCTTGTCTGCCCATGGAATTATCCAGGAACAGCTGTTCTTGAATAACTCTATATGTGGACACTCTTATTCCAGAATAAAAGTGCTTTGTCCCTGTTTAGCTTAACGCACTTGGAAAGTTATTTGTTGAGTTATTTGTCATGAACAGCTATTGCACTGTGAATTCACCTCCTATATTAATCCCTGTTAGCTTATTATGAGTTTGTTTTTAAAAACTTGGTTATTTTCCCAAAGTGTGGGCTGGAAACCTAAACACTGCAATTTAACCAGTGTTACAGGGCTTTTAAAAAGCAGGCATGAAGGAGAATCCTTAAAAAGGACATTGTTCCACTCTCTAGGGTGAGACCAGAAGACGTAAATTCTCACAGAGTGAAATTCACTCCCATGTAGCAGGCCAGCACAAGGCTTAGCCATCATTTAAGAGCCACAGAAGTGCTTTGCATTTGTACCAATGGCCTTGCATTGGCCCTCTGCAAAGAGGTGTATTTTATCCGCTGAGAAAGAAGTTCATTCTATTCTACAACTTAAATGTATGTAAGGAGAGGTTGGAAGTTTAGAGGCTTACATGAAACCTTCCAGGGCTAGTTGATAAAAACAAAAAGCCCATTCTGGGGCTTACAATTACACACAGCATTCTATTCACTATCATACACATTCACTACTATGTTTATGTGTAGGACCTAGAGTCAGAAATGATGGGCATATCTGGTTAATTTTAATCAAGCAATAATGCAAGTCTAGTTATAAAAACATTTTAAATTATAAAATGAACAGATTCTTTATATCCACTTTAAAACACAGCAGATTACATTTGCGAATGTCCCTATGAATATACTTCCACATAAAGGCAACCAAACAAAAAGGGGAAAGCCAAATGCAGTATCATTTTCAGCACAGTTTGATCCACAGCTTGATTCAGTTTTCATGCCAAATAAATGAAAATAAATAAACAAACAGAAAACTTCCTTTGAAGAGGCTTACATAAATAACACTATTAAATGAAAGACGGTGTTTACTTTACCGTGCTGGGTCAGATATTCTACTGTATTCCACACCACTGCTGGGAGACCATTCTTGGTAAGTCCCTGCTGCTGGAGGTCCTGGAGACTCACACCGAACACCTTCTGACAGCGATCGTCCCTCTGCTTGTTCAGTGGCAGCGCAGCTATCTTTTTCATGTCTTCCTTCAGCCTCACTGCTGATTTACTTTGCTTAAGGGAGCAGAGGAAAAGAGAGCAGTCGGTCACATTTACTACAGGAGGTTGCATGTCAGTTAAGAATTAAGCTTTTGGGTTTTGAAATAGAACAGTCTGCAGGGCTGGTGGGTTTTTTTGTTTTATTTTAGTCCACAGCAAAATCTCTATGAAGTAGTACATTATAAACGGGTAGGACAGAGAACAAGGGGAGGGAAAGGAAAAAGAAAGTAAGGAGGAGGAGTCCAAAGCCACAACTTATCTGTAGCTAAGAGATAGGGTGGATAATACACTGCAGTATCCAAGCTATATTGCTACAGTAACCAGTGGGCCAGACTCAGAAGAGACCACTTATGTTAGCTGCAAAATCTCAATCATCAACTTAGACTCTGATTTTAAGGCCAGAAGGGACCACTCTGACCACCGAGTCTAACCTCCTATATAACACAGAGAAAAGAACCTCCCTCACCCAATAATTTCTGCATCAAGCCCATAATTTCTGTTTGAACCGACAGCATTATCTTTTGGAAAGATAAGTCAAGGCGGGTTAAGACTGAATAGATGAAGAATCCACAAGATAAAGTGTCCAGATAAAACCTAATGGTAACAGGGTAAGTAATAGATAAGGATAGAAATGTAAACCAAGATAGGATAGCTTGCGGTTGAAAGGAGAACTCTCTTCATCTAGCAGTAGCTTATCGCACCATACATCACATCATCTTTGGTTTATTTATTATAGGCAAGTAGAATATAACTCACCTAAATCCATTCAACCCGCATTTTTTAAAAAGTGTTTGCACATCAAGTTTATTAGCAGCTAACAAGACTGGTGGTGATGACCCATGACACAATGGAATTCAAAGTGTGGCGTATAAGAAACAGCTGAATCTGGGAATGTATTGATAATAAGCACTGAAACCTGGTAGAAATGTCTCAAGTCCTGTCTGTAGAAACGTCTCAAGTCTTGTCTGCAATTTGTGTGTCACAATATATAGGGACAGAGCTATTTAACGATACTCACACCTATGGTTTTGTTTTCAAATAAACATTACCATTTTCTAATCTCTTTAAATGCAACATGATGTTTCAACTCCACCTCATTAACTAACTTGAACACTTGTCCAGACTTGGCTATTAAGCCAGGCTGTACCTTGTTCCAGGTACAAGAGAGAGAATTTGCATTAATCGTTTCTTACCAAGATTGCTGCATCTTTTTGCTAAGCACAGCTTCTATGAGGAAATGTGTACTAGAATCATCTGTTTGATACCAGGACTTGGCAACCTCATGCAATCTGGTATGTAAATGACTTTCTTGGACTGTGGTGGTCTGACATATACAGAAGATGTTGCTTGTGTATCTAAGGCTACAGAATAAGTTATAAATACTCCATATTATTTGAAAAAGGGTATACGTCCATATAATTAAAACTTGTGTTGTAATGATCACCTTATAAATACATATGATAAATAAGTATAGTCAATGTTCAAATTCCAGCTTCCATTGACTGTTGCCATTTTAAAAATAATATTTCTTATGAGAATTACAAGTGATTACTGTAAGCTATTTTCATTTAAGATATATGCCAACGCAAAGATTGGGTTGTATGGACCAGGCAAATAATAATGATAATAATAATACTTCCATTAGAGGATTTTGAAACACTTTTCTAATTAAGGTCCCAAACTTATAAACTCTTACGCATGCGCTTAGCCACATATAATCACTGGGAAGCTGGTAAGTGGTAACCCATCTCGATTTCACAATGGGGAAAAACTGAAGCCCCTAGGGGTGAGAGGTGTTGCTCAAGTTTACAAGGGAAGTCTGTAAAAGATCCAGAAACAGAATCCAGATCTCCCAGTCCTATTCTTTAACAGAGATTAGAAAAAGGAAATTGTTTAAAGCTGACATATCCTGTGTAATTCCTGATATATTTATAAATCTTTGTTAGACCTAAGTATGTAAAATATAAAACTCTTGCCTCTAGCAGAAAGAAAAAATCTACTTAAGTGATCAGTAAGAAACCATTCCCCGTGGCAGTCTCTAAGCAGCGAACTGAATCCTACTTAGTCTCAGTTGGGGAAATAAATTAATCAAAATCGGTTGGTTTTTTTAGATAAAGATATAAATGATTGGCCATCTTAACCATTTTTTGCTTAATGGCATTGCAGAGTGTAACAAGAGACAGCAGTATGAATTTTAGAAGACTAGTCACAAACTTCAGAAACATGTTTTTTCACTTCTGCCCTTTTCAAATAATCTTAATTAAACTACATGTTGCAGTTGGCCTGTGGTTAAAAAACAAAATTGTCAATCAATTTCACCATCACTAGACACTGTTTCGAAGGGGCAACAGGTCATCTAAACATAAAATAGAGTGAAAAGACTAGGATCAAAAACAAGAGAGGAGAAATACCAATAATACCATTTTAGTTTACTGAATCAACCAAAAACATGTCAGTTCTAGTATATGTATCGTGTTCCGCAGCCTCCTGGACTAGGTGTCCAATATAAACAGAAGAGAGAGAGAGAGCGCCTGCATTTCAATTCAGAGTAAAAGTGAGAAAGAAACTAGGAAATATTCACTCATCCCCCCATGAAATTAACAATGGCTCACAGTGCAAGGATGTTGTGGATGGAGCAAAAGAGGAAAATCCTGAATAGATCCACAGTGATTGGTTAGTTTAGATTTGCAAGGTAAAAAAGTAAGTCAGCCAATCTCAGACATGTTGATACTATCCAACATCTTCCCCCTGCAAATGCACACACTGTTAAGTTTATGCAGTTTAATAAACTAGTGACTGGAAGAGGCCTCCCTCCGCATACTCTGAGTAATCACAGCATACAACAGACAGTCTGTACTCACACAGATGGCTAATGCGCCTGCCCCCATTCTTTCAGGAAGTGTCTGGACGAACTGATGAAGATGGGATGAAAGCATTAAGCAGAGTACTGAAGGCTATTAAGATTCCATGCCATGAAAGCCTTATAGTTCAGGAAAAAAAAGACAAAAATAGCCCCAAAATGGGCCAAAAATTGCTACGGAACTCTTATTTTGTTGGCTGAATCTCCGCAAAGTTAGCTTTTGCTTCTTAGATTCAACACACATGGCTGGGATCAGCCCCTGCAGTTGAAATCTGATTCCAGGGAGTCTTTTATTGGCAGTCTGGAGGAGTCATGTGACTTGGTACTTAAGTCGTTAACATCTCTTCATTAATTACCAGGCATTTCTTATAGGCAGGCAGTCCAAAGACTTTACAGAAGATGTGTCCTACAGAGTAACGTCACCCTGACAACAATCTCGCCTCAGGCAGAGGCTAACACTCGGTGACTCTGCCTCATTAGCATCATTATTCCCATTTCTGAGTTAGTGATACTGATACTTCTCTCTTCCTTCCAGCCTGTTACAAAACTCAAACATACCTTCAGGCTGAACAAATCCCTTTGTGAAGATTCCACAGTACAATACTAGCCAGCACACAAACTTCTCAACTTTCTGAAGCAATGCTGATTTCTCAAAACAAAATGCGTTCTGCATAGAGTGCATATAGCATATGTCACTTCCTCTGTATCGTTTTAACTGCTCCATTTAGCCTAATCTAGTAAACGGCAGTTGCTATTCAATTCAAAGTAGCAAATGTATTAATTCCTTTTAAAATTTTGGCAACAAAATAATTAAGTAGCTATTGACAAATAACATGACAAATAACTGGATGGCATAAGAACAAGGGCAACATCTAGGCCTTTTGCATTGATGGGGCATGTTCCTACAGAAATTTACACTGGCATTTTTCACTTGACACATTTAACGGTTAAAGTGAAAAAGTCTTAGACATCACAGTTCTGTCATCAATATAATGTATGATTAAGTCAGCCTTGCAAAACATGTCCATTCACCCAGAGAGAATTATTATTAATTATTATTTTTACATAGGTGAATGTTATCTTTTCCCCCTCCTATTAGTCTCAATCACGGCAAAGGGCAGGCAAGTAGATTTTGTGCATGAGCTGATAGATTTTCATGTAAGGTTTCCTAAGGTGTAATTCTATTAACCTCAAATTCAGTACTAATAGGACACCTCATCTCAATCCAGTAATGTACTTAGAAGTGCCAAGTTAGAATACAGTACTATGAGACCCATTACATGACCTGAATTTTGAAATGTCTGTGATACTGCTCATTCCTCTCTCCTCTCCCCTGAAGCTTAAACGACACAAACATAATCCTCCTGGGTGGTCCTCTTCTCCTGTGGTATTGGTCAGATGGCAAAAGGAACAGAGACTCTAATGGCTTGTCTACACAGAGACTTAGTGGATGGCAAGCCAGGGTTTAAATCTACAGCATGGTAGCCTGCCGTGTACTGGGCAAGTGGACCCTGCTACCACGCACGTCAAAGTGCACTACAAAACGTATAGCATGTGGTACTGGGGTGGGAGGAGCATGAGACATGCTACCAGTAACTGACAGTATTCAAGCATCCATAAAATT